AAAGTGATGGTGATATAGATGGGGATGTTAATAGTAGAATTCATGTTGGTTGGTTTAAGTGGAGGAATGCTTCAGGCCTTTTGTGTGATAGAAAAGTACCACTTAGACTGAAAGGAAAATTTTATAAGACGGTGGTGAGACCTGCAATGCTTTATGGCGTTGAATGATGGCCTTTAAAAGAGAAGATATAATAATAAATTAAGTGTCGCCGAGATGAGAATGATTAAGTGGATGAGTGGCTTTACACTTAGAGACAAAATGCGAAATAAATATATTCATGATAGCGTTGTTGTAGCTCCAGTGGTGAACAATATTAGATAGAGTTGTCTTAGAAGGTTTGGTGACATTAAACGTCGACCAACTGATGATCTGATTAGGTGAGTAGAAGTTTTAGATTTAACTTATGTTAAAAAAGGCAAAGGTAGGCCTAAAAAGACTTGGGTATATTGTATAAAATTATTGTATAAAAAATGATCTTAATTTACTAGAACTAAATGAAAATATGACACTAAATAGGACGCAATGGAGAAAAAAGATTCATGTAACCGACCTCACATAGTGGGATTAAGGCTTTGTTGTTATTGTTGTTGTATTGGCACACATAAATACATCGACCGACCCCACATAGTGGGATTAAGGCTTTGTTATTATTATTGTTGTATTGGCACACATAAATACATCACTTCAATAGTTTAAAAAAACAAATCACTTCAATAGTTTAAAAAAACAAATCACTTCAATAGTTTAAAAAAACAAATCACTTCAATAGTTTAAAAAAACAAATCACTTGAATTGTTAATTTATAACTATCAATGAGTGATCTATATACAATTATCCCTTTCATTTCATGCTCTCGCATTGACTATATCAAATCTCTCTTTTATTTAAATGTTTTGGATAATTTATTTTGTGGTTTTTGGTGATATGTAATATACTAAGTAAATATATTTTTAAAATAAAAGTAAGAGGCTTTCACATAAAAAGAAACATTCACAAACTAATCTACCAATGTTATAAAAAAACTGAACCTTACAACTCAGTGGTTATTACAAATTGGCTTTTCATTTCCAGAACCTATTTCACATATATATATTCAGACTTCTCCACCAAATTTGAGACTTCAAACCCACTTCCCAAAAAAAATAAATAAAAAAAAAGTACACTGGTGGTAGAATGTAACAAAGAATTATGGCGTAAAATCAATGATTCTTTCATACAGTTTCTCTGCAAATTTTCAACACTAAATATGTATTCAAAAACTAATATAAGGAATAAAATGAGGACATGGGGCCTACCGTTTATTTCTCCACCTATTGTTCTCTCAGGTATGCTTTCACGCAAGAACCACCACAAATTTCATTACTTTGCTCTATAAAAATGACAAATATACGCTGGTGGAGATCTTAATCCAGCCACCATTTCTGCATAAACATCACTGTTAGGGATCAACTGGTCTTCCTGAGGCTGCAGGTTTTATTTTTCCTAATCACAGAAGCTTGCTGGTGCGACGTTTGGAGGAACCACCTGGGAAGAACTTCATTATCCAGCCCAACACCCTCTCAACCACCTGCATGACAGGAAGTGAAATTTTATGTGTGGCAGAATTATAAACAGCAAATACTATGATTCTGGAAGAAGAGAAAAAAAGAGAAATATTTACATACATACCACTTTATTCCTATGTATTTACATATCTAACACCAAAACTTCAATTTTTTACTTGTATGCTACCTTGCCTATGCGTGAAAAGGTTTATTTTCCTTTTTTTTTAAATTAAAATAGCGGTATTTTGATGTGATATGATAGATTGATGGTATAAATGAAAATGTAAAAGTTTAGAGGTTAGATATGTAAATACATAAGAGTTGAGTTGTATGCATGTAAATGCACCCAAAAACAAAAAGAGAAAGCCAACTGAAACTCTCAAGTCTTTTGATAAGTTTGACTGAACTAAAGGCTAGTTTTATCGATACATCATGCAGTTTTTCATGTTTTGCACGATCCTAGTATGAATGAATAAATAATAAAGTGATTGAAACATATTCAGAAAAGGCAATAATATTTCCTTGTTAACAAAAAATGACCAGAAATATCAATATACCTCATCTCCCTCATCGGCATAATCCATTGTATCTGGAATGTTGTGGGTATTTATAGACTTCGTTAAGATATTCTCATTGGCCATCCTCTGGGCAGTCAGGAGTTCTAATCTTTGGGTCTGTGCCTCCAGCTTTCGAGATAACTCTTTGTTCAAATCCTGCAAGCAAAAGAAGCCCACAAAATTCAAGTACCCATGAATTCAGGCAGTTTTCTTTTTTCTTTTTTTTTTTTTTAGAAAGTAGTGTTTCGGAGTTCTTAGCTGCAGCTGATAATTGAATCCTGTAATACAGGAAGCATGACACGGAAAAAGGATAAGAGAAAGGAAGTTTCATAATCCTCATATTTCAATTGCTTCCAAAAATATCTAAACCGATAGTATTTATCACATCTTTGGCTCCATTGTTGACTTCCTTGGGGTCAAATGGTGATCAGCAGTTTAAAATATTTCAACAGCAGGAAAGAAAGCCAGATATCACATCCAATCCCAAGAGGAAAAGATACTGCTAACAATATAAAAAGAAATTCGTTCCATTCATTTGAGAAATCAAGGAATCAATAAATAAAGAGGTCATTAGCAGAATATTTGGTGAAAACGAAAATGCAGATGAGAGTCAGATGTAGTAAGGCCGGCAGCTTAATTACCATACAGTAAAAACTAATGAATATAATGAGAGTTTTCTTCAATCAATATTGAATCCAAATATTACATATCAGAAATTGCATATTTTGAGAATGAACATATGAGCAATTCCGACTTTTTCAGATGCTCTAGAAATTGAATATCAAAGAAAAGATGTGAAATCTAATCGATATTATAGTTTTCCCCGCTCCAAAATGATCAAATCATAAAATATTCGAAGGGATAAAGAAGAGGGCAAAAAATGCTAACAATAAATGATGTAATCGTTGTTGGATTCACGACTGCTCAAGCTTAAAACTCTTGTCTAATAAATTAAAAATATTTTTACTCATCATCCTCTTAGTATAAGTACCCCATATGATTAGTATGTGTAATAATCTGATACGCCCCGAACCAAAGTTAGCAACCAAACCACAATGAAATGGCAAGAGATAGATGGGAAAACTCTAACAAGGGCTGCTCTTAACCAAACAAATGCAAATAAGATGGATACAACGATCATCTACTTTTCGAGAGGTAGATCGGCTCCTCCAAAATCCTAGAAGTTGCTAGGAACACCTCCAAAAGAAGAAAACACAGCAGCCAACAAAATAACGCATAAACAACAAGAAAATGGTGTTGGACTATGGGACTTTGAACAAGGAGACGGTGTGCACAACAGCTCGTCCAGTAACTCATCAATCACATGAACAGGAAACTTGTCCAACGTCATTTCCCTGTTCAAAGTCCGATAGTCCACACAAAATCTCTAACTACCATCTTTTTTCTTCATCAACAGAACGGGACTAAAAAAAGAGCTCACACCAAGCCTAATAATCCCAGCTTCGAGCATCTCTCGGATCAACTTCTCTATCTCATACTTTTGAATCTGGGGGTACCTATATGGTCTGATGTTGATGGGAGAAATCACTTCCTTCAATGTAATGGCATGCTCATGCTCCCTCGGAGGAGGTAACCCGTTTGGTTGTTGGAAGACATTTGTAAACTGTTGTAGGAGCTGTTGAACCCTTTCCGAAAACTCTGTCAACTCTGATCTTGAATCTCCTCAATGCTCTGCAAATCCACTAAGTAGCCCAGTCCCTCTCCCCGAATCGACTTGACTGTGATTTTGAGCAACACCATGGTTTTGCATAAACTAGCATCTCCTCTCAACACCTGACTTCCAATCCACTTTCATCTTCCCCAATGTTCGTAGCCACTTCATTTCCAAAATCACATGTGCTGCCCAATTCTAAAGGAAGAAAGTCTTCCACCACCTGTAGGTCATGTAGTGTCAGAACCAACTCCTTGCAAATTCCTCGGCTTTTCTCCTTTTCTATCCCCATCATGACGCCAAAGCTCCTTGCACTCACCAGTTCCAACTCTAGCTTCTCCATGACCTGATTTGAGATGAAGGGTCTGTTTGGGGCAGCTGTAGCTTATTGAATAATCTGATGATAAGATAATTAAAAATAATCCGCTAATAGCTAAGTGCGGTGGCTATTAGAAATTTTTATTTTTTTAGAAAAACCAAACCGTAGCCAGAAAGCTGCCACCGCACCTATCTACCTAGATAGGTGTGGTGTGAAAATGTTGTTTCAGCGTTTTGAAAACGCATAAGTTGTCAAGACGCTGTTTACCAAAACAGACCAGGTGCTTTTTTCAAAACGCCACCGCAGCAAATAAGCTGCCCCAAACGGGCCCGAAGTTGTGTGGCCCTACTATCTACCAACACCACAATCGGTTGTTTCCCGATTCACCCTCTCACCTTTATGGTGTAATTGGGGGTAAATCCCACAACCGAATGGAGGGACATCCCCGCAACATCCAAATGTAGATGATTCCCCTCCACTGCATTCTCTTCTGATTCCTCATTCTCTGTATCCTCCTGAATTAAGAGAATCTGAAGAGCGCACTCCTGACAACAGTGTCCTAAGGCGTATTTCTCGTCACAACGATAGCACAACCCTTTTGTTCTTTTATACTGCACTTTTGCATTTGTGAGACGCTTGAAAGTACCCCCCGGATAGAATCCTGCGCTCATCTCCTTCAACGTCTCCTTCTGAAATGACACCATTTGGGTCCTTGTTGTCGTGGGTATTAAGGAGCTCTTGTAGAAGCCTCTGGTGTTGCCTCTTTTGTTGATCTTCTTAACCTATTTCTTATCCTCCATCATTTGGGCAAGCTCCATCATTTACCTCAATCCTCGCAATCTCAAGGGGCGAATAGCTGCTCGTATGTCAGGCTTTAGACCCTTCAAGGAGTTCCCTTCCAATCCTGCTGCAGAAATCCCCATCAACCTACCCGACAAGAGCTCGAATTTCTGCCAATATTTTATAACTATCGCATTTTAAGTTAGAGCATAGAATTGCTCGTGTAGGTCTCCTCCTCGAATAGCTTGGAAACGTTCCAACAAGCAATCCTTAAATTTCTTCAATGAGTGCATTAGATATCTTGCCTCCATCCACTGAAAGCACACTGAAGGCTTTCCCTCCAAGCATAATCTCGCTGCCACGAGCTTCTCTTCCTCCATCAACCCAATGATTGCAAAGCATCGTTCCACTCGATACACCCACCCATGTGCATCCTTCTCTTCTAAGATTGTCATTTTCAGATTTCTGACCCTTGCATCTCCACCCTAACCTCCTCTTCCTTTGCTATTTTCCCCCATGTATCAAGGGTGGAACTCCCTCTTTCGGTCATAGGCATACCCCACTCCCAATTCCCCCCTTCCTCCATCGTGCTCTTCCAGACCCTTTACACCATCCCTCTTCCAATTTTCGACCCATCCAAATCAATCAAAAGTTTCCACTCCCCATCCTCTCGGAGTCCTAGGAGGACGCTCTTGTAGGTAGATGATGTCTTCTTCGTTGTCTTCTTGCTCGTTCTCCTTACTTTTTGACCTAAGTAAGGATTCTCTAATCACCCCTTGGTTAGGGTTTGCAACCAGAGTGGTCGGCATGACCTTGGATTGCATCTCCATGAGCATTTTCATCATCTCCCACATTTCTCCTAAGATATCGAATCCATCTTACATTCGACTTTCAATGAAAGAAAACCTGCCCTCCATGGTGGCGAACCTTTCTTTCTTTCTCGATCTGATTTGCCCTTCCTCTTCTTCTAGCACATCCACTTTCTTTGTTGTCATCCCATCAAAATCTAGGCTCTGATACCAATTTAATATGCCCCGGACCAAAATCAGCAAGAAAACCACAATGAAATGCAAAGAGATAGATGGGAAAACTTAAACGAGGGCTGCTCTTAACACAAACAAATAAGTAAGATACAATGGTGATCTATTTTTCAAGAAGAAGATTGGCTCTCCCACAACCCTAGACATCGCTAGGAACACCACCAAAATAAGAAAACACATCAGCCAACAAACTAACGCATAAAGAAAACAAAACCTATATTTCTCCTCTTAAAAAATCCTCCCACAACCATTGAAAACTCATCTTTATCACTTTTCCTCCAAATCTGTTTTAATTTCTCCTCGGGTGTATAATTAAGCCTCTCGTGGACCACATCCTCTCCTTGCCTTCTTCAGCGGCAAAGTGCGGCCCCGCCTCTTCATTCAAACACGATCGGCACGCCTATTGGTTTGGCGGGCCGGTGGGATGGCCTTTGACTGGTCCCTCCTGGACCGGTCCTGTTACAGGCATAACATATACATACATATTATATACCCACAATGTAGGAGTGTGTTTGTACATGTGTGCTGACTATTTCCGTGGAGTCGGGTGAATCTTCCGATATATATATGATATGCTAGAAAATATAAAACAATGGGGAGATGGGTAGAAAGGTTGGTCAAAAGAAATTTTGCATCCTCGATCAAATTTTCCAATCTACAAGTTCGAACAAAATCAGCCCTGGGCATGCCTAGATTGAAAAATAATTTATAAACATCAAAAAAAAATTCATATATACATAAATTAAAGGCTTGGTTTCAAAGAATGGTAAGGTTGACCCCCCAATGATTTGAAGGTCATAGGTCGAAATTTAGAAACAATTTATTTGAATGAAATGAATAAAAGATTACATACATCAACCTTCATGGAGTGAGATTAAGTGATCGCATGTACATAATTTATACATGAACTACACTTGATATATATTACAACTATTTTGTATTCATCAAAGGTTTGTTTAGATTGTTGAAAACGAAATGCAATGTAACAGGGATGCATTTTAATTGATATGTAATGTATTCTAAAAAGACTTTGAAGTTGTTTAATTTGGTGTAAAATAGACAAAATTTCACAAGTTTATTTTTGATTTGATTAAAAATAAATTGATGTAAAACATTGATGAGGGTGGTAACAGCAGGCGGAAGCCAACGACCGACGGTAGCAAGGTAGAACCAGGCATTGGCTGGTAGTGGCGAAGGACGGAGGCCGTGATGGTGGAAATCACTGTCAATGGTGGCAGGTGGCAAGTGACAATAGCCAATAGGAATGGCTGGCAGACAGGGAACGATGGGTTGTAGATTATGGTGTATTTGAAAATCATCCAAACCTAGCGAATTCAAAATACACCAGTTTTGAACTATAAGATGAATTCTAAATTCACCAAAATTTTATGCTGCAATCGATTTCATCCAACTAAATGCCTAAATTTTAAAAACCTCTGTATTTGGTTTGTATTAGAAATACATTAAACTAAACAACCCCTAAATAAGCAATAATTTATTCCAAAATAAACATATCAATCCTCATCTAAGTACATATGATTATAAGAATAAAATGAAATAAATTATATTAAAATTTCAAATCTAACATCATCTAAAGATCACATACAACCCTAACCAAACATTTAAATTCGAAAAAAAATATAATTGACCCTAATAAAATAGATTAAACAAACAAAAAAAAATGAAAAAAGAGAAACTCGGCCATAAAACAAAATGGGACTAAAAACATCTTAAAAATTGATCTAGTTTAGCACCATTATAGCCCAATTAGATTATTCTTTAATTGGCACATGAAAATCCAATCTTTTATGGATTAAGCTAATTATTTTGTGCAACATTCATTTAACTACTTAACAATAAACTCCTAAAAAGTTTGAAGGAAATGACCAAGGTGGATAAAGTGACAGCATTGTATCATCTGGCGGATGAAATGTTAAAGAGTAATATAAAGAATAGCATGGGTAAAACATCCAAAGAGCTCAAATTTGGAGGTTCAAGTGTGCTGAAGCCACCACTCTTCATACATCTAAGAGAACATAGCAATGTGGATCAATAAGGAACTAGGCCATGGTGATGGTAATCAAAACCCAAAATTAATCTCTTGTACATATGACGGAATTCTACTATAATCACCTTAAATAGCATATCTCTTGAGACAATGAACTGAAACAAGAATCGCCACTAGTTTAAGAAGATTAATAAGAAAGTTGGTACATAAGCAAATTTATAGGTGATCTACCATTATATCAAATGGATGCTTAATTAGAATGTCCACATTGTAATTTTGGCATCATTTAATAGAAGGGGTTTTTACATTTGTACCACCTAGACTATTAGAAATTAAAGTATGACCACCTAAACATAAAAAATTACAAATTAACCACCCTAAGTGTTCTGTTCTTCCCAAAAAAACCACTTGCTAATGTTTTTATCACCACTATGACTCTCCCTATTGTCCTCCGTCGCATAACATAGCCTATGTTTCTCACTCCATCGGTCCATCTCTTTTCACCATGAGACCCAATTAACATAGCATTCCTTGGATAATCCTTAAGGGTAGCATCTTATCTTTGAACATCAGCATGAGCCGTTGCAACCGGTTGAAGATCTCCATCCGTCGTCTTAAAAAGATATCGTGCTCTTTCTGGTCAATGTCTATGACTTATCGTTTGGAAGTGCCACGCTTCAAAGCTGTAGAGATGGGGAAGCATTGATCGAGCTCTTTGAGGAGAGGTTGGGGATCTCAGGATTTGGAGAGGATTTCGATGGTATCGAAGAAGAGATCCTTCTTCCATTTTATTGTCAAATCCACATAGCTTGCTTCTTGGAAGTGCCAGAAGGCCTCCAAGTTTTTGGAGCGGTGTAGAGAAATTTTCCTTGTGCCTTCTTTCAATAAGCATGCAAGCTTCCTAAGAAAGTCCCGGAGCTCGGGTATTGCTATCATTTAGTCGTGTCAGAATGCACCAATGAAGATTGGAGGGGTTCAACTGGCGTTTATATACTTTCAATAAGCATGCAAGCTTCCTAAGAAAGTCCCAGAGCTCAGGTATTGCTATCATTTAGTCGTGTCAGATTGCACCAATGAAGATTGGAGGGGTTCAACTGACGTTTATATAAAGCGGGTGAGCAACGTGGGCCAAGCCAGCCAGTGACAGGCAAGTGAGCGATTGTTTGGAAAGAACAAAACATTGAGGTGGTTAATATGTAATTTTTATGTTTAGGTGGTCAGACCATTATTTCTAATATTCTATGCGGTACATATGTAAAAAACCTTTAATATAAAAATAAAAGAGAGCACGGTCAATAAAATTTCGATCGTTAGATACATTGAAGAAGAGTGATAGCAGTGGTGATTCCCAAATTGCATAGTTGACATTAAAGATTACGTGAGAAAGATTTCACATGCAAAACCCTAGCCCAAAACATCAAAAAGAAAAGAGATTGAATGAGAGGAGCATGAGGAAGAAAACATCTCATATTATGAACCCCCTCCTAGGACTCTGATTAGAGGTGGATTTAGATATTTTCGATTGAGGCGGTCGGGCCAAACATGAAGAAAGGGTTATGCAAGGGGTATGAAGGAGCATGAAAAAGAAAGGAAAGAAGTCGGTATGGGGTATAGCTATGATCAAAGGAGGGAGTTTTACCCTCAAAACATAGGGAAAATAGTGGAGGGAGAAGAATTTTGGGTGGAGATGCTAAGGTTAGGATGTTGAAGATGTCAATCTTCGAAGGGAAAGACACACATGAGTAGGTGTACCAAGTGCAGCGATATTTCGCGGAGAATGAGCTAAATGGGGAGAAGAAGCTCATGACGGCAGGGTTATGTTTCGAGAGGAAAGCCCTAACATGATTTAAGTGGAGAGGGCTAGATACTCATCCGCTCATGGGAAAAATTAAGGGATTGCTTGTTAAAACGTTTCTGAGCCATGTGAGGAGATATGCTCTAGCAAATCTTTGTATTGACTTAGGAAGGGACAGTCATAAAGTATAGAGGGGATTCAAGCTCTTGTCGAGTTGACTAAGGAAAATTTTTAAAGCAGTATTGGAGGGGTACTTCATGAAGGGTCTAAAGCAAGTAAAAGTCCCCACAACCATGTCCATACATTTATACTAAAAAAGAAAAAAATCCCAGTTATAACTCAAAATAAGGCAAATAGAAACCCCACAAGGCCCATAATAGATAATAACGGAAAGTTTCCCACTTGTTCTCTTTGAGATATAGCTTCACCGCCTGAAGAAGAATAAACTATTGTTCTCTAAATAGGAGAAAATAGTAGAAATAATCTTCAAATAATATAAATCAGCGCAAAAAAATCCCCAAAACTAGGTGGCTCTCATGAGATCGATTACCGAGTGCAAATGCCGTGGAATCATGGTTTCACAAGCAACTTTTTTCTTCTACATCCATCAACATGGTGCCCACATGAAGCTTTCTATTCTCCATCCATCAATATAGTTTCCTTGTGCTTTCTTTTAACTATTTCTAACATAGATCTTTTTATTCAATTATTCTTCTATCCCTTTGATACTGATATCATAGAAGACGCCTTCCAGATTTGATTTAGGGATGAACTCTTTTGCTGTTCATTCAGAGTTAGTGAGTTGGCTCCCCAATCGCCTAATTGGATTTTTGTTCAATTTTTTGGTGGAAAATGCTTCCTATGCTCACGATGCATTCTCATTGAAGTAGACTGAAAATATCCTGATGGCTAGAAACATATTGATTTGATGAATGATATGAATAGTGAAACATAATACAGCAAACACGGCCCATAAAAAGATAGATATGTGCCACATTGGAAGAATCTTGACTTGAATATATAGTAAGGCTATATCTGACCAAGTTTACATATGTTAACCATTTATTAAATAAGCTTTCCATAAAATGCAAAATAAACGGAAATGATTCCAAACAAGTTGTTATTGGGAATTTTTTGGGGAATTTTTTGTTAAACGTGTTTTTTACAATCAACAAAACAGTTCACAAACTTCAAAAAACGGTGCAATTATGAGTAGCAATTTCATTATTTATTTTTTCTCAATTACCTTCAGCTTGGAACTACTAGAGGTTTCAATTGTCAAAGCTTGCATCAATTCCTCCTTTTCCAGTGCCAACTGAAAATAAAATAAGGAATTAGCTAATGGAGTCAAATACATGTCAACAGTGCAAACACATGAAGAGACTTCAGAACTATTTTTTAAGGTAGAATGTATGTTGATTTAAAAAACTAGCATAAGCTCTACCTAATGGTAAACGATGCAAGTTCTCACCTCAGACATTAGAGAACTAATGTTATCTATCATTCTAAGCTGATCACGTGGAATTCCAATCGAAGCATCAAGCAGATCAACACTTATGCCATCTGATGGAGAGGAGGTAGTTGTCACAAAATCATTCAATGCTGTGTTATTTTGTAACAACCTCATGGTATTCCTAGCCATGATTTCTGCCTCATTGATCTGCCTGTCAATGTCATCACCTTAAGGAAGCAATAACGTTCCATAAGCAACAAAATACAAAGGCCTAGCAACCATTCAACTATAAAGTTTACTTGTAGATAACCACAAGAACCTGAGCATTAGATGAGTGATGGACACTTAAGAAATAATATTTACACAAGTATATATCATTCATAATTTCATAAGACACAAAAAAATGTAATTTATAACAACATATTCTGTTAAAGCTAACCAAAGACGGTTATCATCATCATTAGCATGATACCAACCCAGTAGAGACAGCAATAATAATGCAAAATTAAACAGTACAGTAAATATTTTTCAAAGGAGAAATTGATCAATGAAACAGCCAAAAGTATTAGCAGTTAAAAGCTTCTCTACCTTGTCAGTTGAACAAAGCATTTCTGGTTGTGATAGAAAAAAAACGACGGGAATTTACATACATAGCACCAGAACCTTATGCATTTACTTATCTCACACCACAACTCTCATTTTTACAAACCAACAACCCAATTCGCACTTTTCAACAGTGAAATCCACATTTTTACTCTCTAATCTACTCCTTCAATATAATGCCATATAGCATAGAAGATATTCATAATAATAAATTGTAAACATATCATTTAATTATACCTGATCAATATTTATTCTTGATTAATCACATCAATTTTAATAAAGAATGTAGTATGATATGTGTGAATTAGGTGATAAAATTACTAATTTGTAAAATTCTCTATTATTTGTTCTCATTTATGTTTTCCATGTATTTATGTATAAATTGTAGGATAAAGGTACTGATGAAAGCTTTACAAAGGCCTTAGCAGCTATCGGAGCGAAGTTGAATGAACCTAGCACAAACACGCATCCAAATAGATACACCAAGCACCACAACATTCATGGCCTTGACTGGCACCTAGGCGCCAGCATTTGGGCCCCATATCATTCGGGAAGTAATACTTCTTTCGAAACAGAATCAAGTCGCTCTCCGTCAGAATTGACATCGCATCCTCCACGTTCTGGCTTTTCTTTTGATTCTCAGCAAAACGAGGTTCTCCGGTTGTCGTCATTTTCGCAACGTAGTAGAAGATCTCGTTACCCGTCTGCTACGTAGGATAGGAAAAACTTAACGCTTCTCCGCAACGCTTCGCCGAAACGTTTCTCCGCAACGCTCAGTCGCGACACTTCGCTGCAACTCTGCGCCGCAATTCTTCCTCGGAACTCTTCACTTCACCACAACTCTCCACCACAACTCTTTACTTCGCCGCAACTATCCTCCGCAATGCAGGATGACTTTCTCCTTCTTCTCACTTGTGATTATTCCCCTCATCCAATGTCTCTCTTTATAGGCATGATATGAGACATAACATTAAAAAAAATAGCTGCTCATTAAAAAAAAAATGGCAGCTCACTAAAAATAAAACAGTTGCTCATTAAAAAAAATGACAGCTCATTAAAAAAAAACAACTGCTCATTAAAAAAAAAATAGATAAACAGTTTCTATCATATATATATACATATAAATTGTTTTTGTCTATTCAATTTTCGATTTTCTGGCCAGCCAGGCAAAAATTTAGCCTAGAAAAAAAAATTCGATTTTCTTTACTTGCCCAGGATTCGAACCCATGATCCTTTCGAACGGAGGAAAGAAACCCAAACAGCTACGCTGAGTTCGGCTTCATTTGTATAAGGATTTATATTATTCTTATACTAATACTATGATATATATATATATACACACACATATATATATATATACACACACACACACATATATATATATATATACACACACACACACACACACACACACACACACATATATATATATATGGGCTTCTCATAAATATATATATATATATATATATATATATATATATATATATATATATATATATATATGTGCGTGTGCGCGCGCATAGAATGATAAATGAAAACGCTCTAAATTTGGATATTTTCGGACAATGAAATTGAACTCGTCCGAAAATAAGGGGCAATTGATGTGCCCCCAACCAATTTTCATCATCCATCACGAATCTTAAGGCATGAAACGAATCTCGAGGCAACCTTTTGAGGAAGAAACATTCAAACTTCAATTAAGAGTCATTCAGAGCTCTGTTTTTAGTAAGCTTATAGTCAAACTGACCGGCTTAATGAAACAAACCCAATGATATAAAAACTAGTCCAATCTGAGTCAGATCAAGCCCGGATCAAATCATTAAAGCACTCTTGGAGAATTTCTAGAGGCATTTGGAAGGTAAAACGGATGTCGAATCTAGCGAGTTTCTATTCGAATCGAGCGTCTCGACAAGACGAATCCACAGAGCCCAAGTTTGCTTAATTCCGACATCGTTAAGTCACTCAAATGTCCATCAAACATCATCTAATCGAGGGAAGCTCTCTGGTTCGTCCGATCAAAATGATTCATATTTCTGCATTAATTACACTCAGAACACTATAAATAGAGTCTCACCCCTTACATGAAGGAGGAGGCTTGAGAGAGAACTTGAGGCTTTGAAAAGGAGCTCAAGTCCAACATCATCTCTGTCATCTTCGATTACTGTCGACCACCACCAACCGACACTGATCATCGCCGACCTCCGTCGACCACCGTCGGCCACCATCAACCTTCACCGACAGTCATTGACCTTCATCAACCACGGCCAATCACTGTCGACCACCGCTGACCGGACATCGTCAAGCGACGCTGTAATCTAAAAATATAGTAACACTTTCCAGTCTGTGGGACAAGGGGTCTCTGTAATCATCCACCTATAGTGGATTTTTATAACTAGATCAGACTCCATGATTTTTTCTCTTTACGGGTTTTCCACGTAAGAACTCCTGGTGTCATCACATGTTTTTTCTCTTTCATCTGAGTGTGTGTTGAATCCTCGTGCGACGCTAAGACGATAATTCATTACTCTACTGCAGCGAATTTTCTAGCACGCATCAATATATAAACCAAAGCTCAAAAATCTTATATATATATATATATAATATATTCAATTTAATAAGATGAGCATATGAATGATATGGTTATATTGATTGTTTGTATATGCATGACTGACTACCCTTGATGGTACTAGCAAGGGAACTCAAATATATTTGTGCATGTAAATAAAAAAAAAATTCTTTAAATAGCTTTAAATATTTATATTGATTTATTAAAAGCTAACTAGCATGCATTTTTTTTTCCTTATATTATTGTAGTTTGGGAATAAATATTCACTAGCTTTATTGAATCACAAAGTATCATATTTCTTCAAACTATTCCCATGATTATACAAAATTGATCCCAAAATAATCCCTTAAAAAGAAATTATGATACAAAATAGATCCCAAATTTTTACCTAAGCGAACAATTTGAATCAATTTTTTAAATCAAAAGATTAAAATTTAAAATGTTGATAAATTTGAACTAAATTTGCCACATGAATGGTTAGAGGACAATTAGGATTTAAATGTTCAGATATACTTTTGTCTTTTTTCTTTTTTTAAATTAATGTCTAAAATGGATTCTTAACTTTTTAAGTGTCTTTTTTAATCCTAGACATTTTGAGGTATTCAATTTAATTCTTAAGTTGACCAGATCAAAACCAATTTGATCCTTCAGTAAGGTTTGTCACTTTGCAGACAAAAAATAATTGAGGACTGCTTTAAATGAGAGCTTTTTATACTTGTTATAGTCGATCACATTAAATTGAGCTGGAATTAATTTGATCCGGAATTAAGTTGTGACATTGACCCCAAAAGACCAAAATGGATAGAAAGCATTTCTCTAATGAAATAACAGTTAACGGTATAACTACCCAAAAAAGCCTAAATGACCTCCTAGAAAGCTTTCCTCCAATGAAATGACGGTTAAGAGTATGAATAAATCGATTTTGGTGATTTACAAGACACATTGAGCACTTCAAAAAAATATTGGACTAAATTGAACATGTTTAAGAAGTTTAGAGGCTATTTTGGCATTTCTTTTTTTATGTTTTTATCAAACAACTTCATGATGCCATAGAATTTTTTAATTCATTCTTATGAATACCTTTCCAATCCCACAAACCGCAAATAATCTTTATACTTTCTAAAAGAAAAGAAACATTTAGGAATTTAAGAATTCATTCATGACTAGCTAATAATCTATTGTTCTATCAACAAGATACACTAATTTCATCATGACTAAAGAATTAATGTACATCGATGAGACTGATCCGAAGAATTAGATCCCATCTACCATTAGTGCATTACCATCCTATCATTTTACTAGCAAAAAAGCTCAGGTGCCGATTCTTTTTGTACAAAGCCCATTTTTTGTGCTAGTTGTCTTTAAACACGATAAGCAAAAATCGGGATAGGAACCTAACACCCTACATCTTATCGAAAGACACGTCTTCCTATTTCAGTAATTTATGCCACAAATATTTTACAAAATTGAATAAAATATGAGGAAAAAAACAATGTTTCAAGGCATGTTTTGGTTTAATAACAATGAAAAAAGCTCTCTACCATTCAATGTACAGTTCATTATTAAAAACCAATACAAAAATAATTAGCATGGAAGAGTAACAACATCAATCATCTTTATTACCTAAATCATCTGTAGATGTGGACATATCTCTTCTACTTGAGGAGCTCCTCATTGCATCATCTACTTTGGAATTTGAAGAGGCTTTCCTCAGCTTGGTCTGTAAGAGCTTTTTCTCTGTTCGTGAAAAAAAAAATCATCAGAATCATGGTGAGCTGGCACATGACACACAAACATGCATGTGAACCCAGGAAAAAGACACCGGCAACTTTCAAGTATCTTCAATGTTTAAGTGAAAACTAAAGGTGTAATTTTTCTTAAAGTAAAATAGGTTTATTTCAACCAAATTTTCCCTGATGGTGTGTCCTTGTTCATTTAGATATAGGTTTAAGACTTCCAACTGGTACAAGTGATGCTAGCAATTTAACAAACAAAGTTTTTTAGCACATTGAATTTCTATATTTATGGTGTTACTAAATTGTTTCAAGTATCACTTATAGGGTGAGGTTGTTTATTCAGTCTATTACCTTATAGGGTGAGGTTGTATGACCTATTTTACTAGCTTTATTGTCAATAATATATTATCTCAAGTCCTGAAAGGCTTTTTGAAGTCAATACAAATAAAATTCACGTCAAACTCTCCTCAAATCAAGAATATAAGCCGGGTTCTTATAAATTTAAAAATGATAATTCAAATCACTACTTCCATCCAAGTTTTCGTATGGATGTAAATCACAACTTAATTAACTTAGGTTGGCATAAAGCCAACAACCTTATTGTGGCTGTTAGTAACACGTTGACTTTCAATATTTATTGAAACAATTATTCAGGATATTTCTACAAATATTAGGACATCATTTAAAAATAATGTATTATTGATTTTGAGGTGATGCTAGCAATTTAAAATTGTATGCCGAATCATTCATTTTATTTAGAAGGACTCCATAACTTCTCATTTACAATTCAAGTTCATGACCTCATTCTAAACTATTTTAAGTTTCATCACAAGAAACTTTCCATATCAAATTGATCGGTTACTTAATTATCATCAAGACATGGGAGTTGATCTGATATAAGACAATATAAAAATTTAAAGCAAATCTTATCTTGTTTGTACAAATTGATTTAAAGGAAAGTTAGTGCAATCTTTAGTTAAAAAAATTTAAATAAATAACATGAATCATATTCTACATCAAGGAAACAAAAAATTGGTTTATATTTTAGGAGAAACAATATTCTAATAGGATAGAGGTTGCATTTAAAGCAAACCAATTAGATTATTTTATTTTACTATTATTCAACCAACTAGTATCCATTGCTTGAAGACAAGTGCTCTCAAAAGACATACAACAGCCGGTCGGTTTTACATGATATCCAAGTCAATTGTCCTTCCATGGGCATGGGTTCTAGTTACAGCTCACAAGTGGAATAATGAAAGTATGGTTTTTTATGGTTGCTTCCAGAAGCACAGGAACATAACCACAAGTTTCTTATTAAGTTGAAACACTATGAATAAAATATGGAACTCCATCATAGTCCCAAGAGAGAAATTACAAACGGTTGGACATGTAAGATTAGAAACATATCTCTCTCCAAAATTTTCAGATGATTTTTTCAAGTAGGGAGGCAACAAGGCATGCTTCAATAACATAGCAGAACATTACACATTTATGATGTGGAAATGGCTATGAGGCTTTCGCAAGCACATTTCATCGTAAGGTGTGGCACGATTTATGCTATTGAGATGGGGAAAGAGAGACTATGTTAAAAGAGTCATACCTGAATGAGTCCTTGTCCTTAATATCATATTTGGGTTTCCACAAACGTGCATCAAAATGTATCTCCCTTGTTGTGGGTTGTAATGGGTTTTAGAGAGAAGATACCACACATCATAAGCATGTGCTTGTGGCATGAGGTCAAGTGCAAGAGTTCTTTGTATAAAGGAGGTCATGGATGCAGAGTTATAATGCAAAGAGCTGAGGAGACAAGTGCAAGTGATGCAGAGTTATATGCAAGGAGTGATTGGCTAGCAATATGGCATGAGAGAGACAAGTGCAAGTGAGATTAAATTTGTGGGTGGATTTTGTAAAATGAAGGAAGCTCGAAAGATAAAGTAGATTGTAGGCATCAGCGCGTGGAGTTATTTTGAGACAAATTGGTGAAAAAAGAGGAAACATGCTGGCAATCTAAGCAAGAAAATGGACAGTTAGAAAGTGAGAGAGAGAACAAGAATGGGATTGAAACATAGAGCAAGCTGGAAGATCAAGAGATCATTAGAACTGAGAAAAAAGATGTGCGAAAAAAGAGGCAATAAGCAGGAGAAGGGGGAAATGCATAAACGCAAAAGAGCTTTCCAAAATGAGAGAAGGTCGTGATACCCATGCACTGGGTCTTAAACTAAGTTTCAACAAGTAGTTTATAGAAATCATAAGCAAATCTGGATAAGAGGGCTGGGAGTGCCTCAATCATGGTTTTTATTCATTAGTGACTCATCGATGTCTAGCTGATAAGCCATTGAGGAGGGGCTGGGATGCTCAACAATAGCCAAATAAATGGTTTATATAGCTAATGGGATTGAACTTAGATAGAGTCTCATTAATTGTTGTGATCTTCAAAGGCAGGTCTCTGATAATTGGACTGCCAAGATATCATGCCAAAGTGCTCATCATGCAACTTTGGATGTATGAGACTTTGACTTCAGATTTGGTTATATGGGACAGAACTCTAGGAATTACAGTGACCAAATGTCATGCCTAGTGTTCATCGTAAACTGTTTTGGACCTCAAATCTTTTGAAATGTGATGCCATTTTCAAAACATCTTCTTTGAGAAACTAATCTTAGACTTAACTTCGAGGTTTTGTTGGGATTTTATCAAGACAATTTATTTGGAGTGTGAGTCTTTTCTTGAAATGGCTTTTCTAAGAGGCCCTTCATTATCTTAATCTTGATGTTGCCTCTGGTATCATTGAGGATAATCTACTAAGATATTTAAGTTGGCTTGAAAATTTTATTTTGAAAACCTTCTCTTTAATGGCATGTACAAACTTGCAGATATGAAGAAAATAGTTTTCTAGTTCTTCAAAGGATTTAGGTGTTAGCTTGTATGCCTCCTAAAATGATTAATTTATAACAACCAATGTATTCTTCCTCTGGACCCACCAGACCATTTGAAAGTAATTTAGGATGGGAATTGCAGCTTATAGAATTTATTGTTAGGCAAAGCTTTACTTGTGGAATGGATAACTACCATGCTTTGAGAACCCTTTCGTCTTCTCAGTTAAGCTTAAGCGGTATTCCAAAGATGAAAAGACAAGAATACCATAATAGAATTACCAAATATCCAAACAGCTCAGAAAAAAGCCAATCAAATTTTGAGCCTCCTCGATGTGTAAGAGATAACTTGAAGAGTAATTTTCCATATGGCAGACTAGGTTATTTTAATCAGATTTTCATTGATATTATGTCAGGGTTCGCCTAAATTTAGAGTTGAAACTTCCAATGGATGAAAGCCTTTATGGAAAAATATATATGGCCTCTACATCTAGGAATCTTTCATTTCGTACATCCACCACTCTTTTACCTACTCCTAATGTACGAAACTCTAATCATACTTTCACTTCTACCTCTAACCTAGATGATCAGATACGTGACTATCGTATGAGGTCACGTATAGCATAGGAGATTCAAAGGAGAATGCCTAGAGGGAGATCATACAATAGAACTCTGGAAAGTCAAATAGATCCCGAAAAACAATTACAGATCTCACAATGAAGGCGTGCAAACTTGGTTCTTGCAGAGACCCTGTACGAAGACGGGTGGTCTTCAACCAGACATCGGGTCTACCAACATTATTCTGAGGAACGCATACTCGCAACTGAGGGTATGCAAATAAACTTGTCGTTCATAAGGCAAGAATCTTACCAAAGATTAGTCCAAGAGGGGATGCAGCACATACATCTTGGATTAATTATGATACGGATTCATACTCTGCATAGACGAGATGTAGGTACTACAGCCTTGATTGTCCTCCGTGACACCAGATGGCGTTCTGATGTCTCCATAATTGGTACAATCGACGTGGATCTTTCTAAAGGTACACAGCTCGTTTATATTACGCCTGACATGCTGCTATCTATTCATGATTTCCTAAATCATATTTAGCTTGTGGTACTCACTCATGACTATGAGGACTGGCAAGGAGGAGAGTCAAATCTCCTAATCACTCGAGCATTAGTTGTTAGATTAACCAACACAAGTCATGCGGGATTTCATATAATGTTAATGAAATAGCTGATTATTTAGCAACCCATGGGATTGTTGCTATCCCTGGGCAAAAACATTCCATACAACAACTACAAGGGCTGGATTGGAACTTAAAGCCATCTGAGAATACTGGTGTACAAATACCTCGTCAACTAGTTACTCGACAGCGAATAAATGGCACTATTCGCTTATCTTTCTCGGATTATACTGTTGTTGCGTCACCACCTGTAACACAGTACTCCTCTCAGGACATCGAAGGTTCTGAGGAAGAAACTGCTTGTATGGCGCATGAAGATGGTCCCCTTTGAAACTATGAGGAAGATAATGATTAGGATAATTGTATAACTATATGCAAAGTTGAAGAATGTGTCGTTGATGAACCAATCTGGGATGCGTCTTCAAGTGAACAAGGAGATGATGATGATGAAGATCCGTTCTCATTGTTCTTATACACGAACAACCTAAAAAATGAACAAAGTTCATTCGCGGAAGTTGGTTGAGATGATGCCGCCAATTTTTACGATTTTGAAACAGATCTTCCTCTTCAAACACCACCAGAAATATTTGACCCGACTCCCTTTGAATTAACTCCACCATCATTTCCCTATCCCTAGATCTATCTCTGAACCCGAGATAATCTACCCAAACATTGAAGACCGACTAGCATAGTTGGATTATCCACGTCTCAGAAAGATGGCCGATAAAGTAGTCAGTGCTTATGCGTCCGTTTCCTCTTCTTATCTACCTCCTAATGAACCGATTATGGGTCTGGTTATGTATCCACCTGAAATTTCTAGAACGCAGGCGGATCCCTCTTCTTCTTCTTCCAATAACTTTCAGAACCTGAGGTCACGAGCCTCAGATTTCAAACGTTCTTATCAGCAAAATATGTGGACATTACCGTCCGCACAGA